ATCCATAATTAGTAATTACCTAAACTCTTTAATTGAATTGGCCACTGATTTTTGAAATTAAAAAATATGAATTCAAGAATACGGAGGCAAAACGGTGGCCTCAAAAGGAACCGCCTAACCGACCAACTTCGGAGTTCAGATTTGAGATTTACACTGGTCATTCGTTAATCGTTAATCGTTATTTTTGAAACTTTGATTTTTTCAATTCTTCTGTAATTGATCATAGAAATTAGAAACTGAAATTTGTAAATAAATTATTCTAGATCCAATTTGTTAATTATTACGGAGTATTTTTTAATTGTACGTAGTATTAAGCTTGAAATTTGTGTTATATTCTGTATTTTTCTAATTTTCTTGAAGATTTCAAATTTAGTCCCAAACTTGTTCTTTTAAATGGTATATCCCTTCAATAATGTCACAAGCAATGTTAAGTTGGCTTGCTATGTTACCTATAGAAAAAAAATTTATCTATTCTTGATTGTATTGATGTATTTACAAATTTTGCACATCAAAAGGGAAGAAGAATATATTTTTTAAGGGAAGAATAAGTTATTAGGTACAATAGTACTTTTATAGTTTTGTTTATTTTTTAGAAGCATTTATCTTTTCACATACTTTATATCAATATTAAATCAAGTATTACCTTTTTACATTTCGTAAAAATGGTGTTATATTTTTCTTCAATTACTTCATATTTAATTCCGTTATTAATTTTAAGTACTATTTAATCTCATTAGTCATTCTTTGACTGGGGCATCAAAACTCCTAAAGACGGCACTGCGGGTATGCCTACATACCCGACCGGGTATGTCTAGAAAAGTGATTTTCCGGGAAACTGCCTAAAATACCCGATCGGGTACACAACCCCACCACCTCCAAACACCTATAAATACACCCCTTTTCCTTCACAATAAAATCACTCCTTCTTCCATACTCTTAAACTCAACTTAGAATAGTATTTCTTCTATATTTTTATAGCATGTTTAGTCTCCAAATGAGGAGCTAATTAAACTTCCATTTCTTGGTGTTGCTCTTGAAGCTTGTTGATTATTAAAGTTGTGAGTTATTTTCTTAACTTCTTCCCTTGAATATTAATTCTTCCTTTAATCTATCTATATATTAATGTTGGGGAGTGTTGCTAAGATGACAATTAGTTAACATCTTGACATTAGTTATAGTAGTATTTATTTTCTTCCTCTATATACTAATGTTGGGGAGTGTTGCTAAGATGACAATTAGTTAACATCTTGACATTAGTTATAGTAGGATTTATCATCTTTAATATTATTCCTTGAATATTAATTAATCTCTATTCATATTTCATATTAATATTTTGAACATTACTTAAAGGATCAACTAGTTTTGTTTCATATATTAATTATTACTAGAATCGTTCGACGAATACGCTTGTTAATTGTTGATGGTTTCACAAGTTAGTAACTTCGGTTTATTAATGCATGGTCGTGGTTAATTAATAAACTTAAGAGAGATTAATTTTGTTGGTTAAACCGAAATCGTTGTGTTGAGGTTATCAATCTCAAAAAATTACGAGCTTTATGTGTTTGAATGAATGTTTTCTTTAACTTATTGTAAGGTGTCATATATTGCAAGCGTTCACCACCACTAAAATATTTAGGGCCTATTTTTTGCCTTTTGCCCCGGGTCCATAATTAGTCAGGACCGGACCGGCGCTCTTAATTAGTGTAGCTCACATCTGTCGAACCTTTGTTGTAGTCTGACTTTGGATCTATTTGGTAAGGCTTATTTGTCTATATGGTCAGAACTTTTTTTATTTTCATAAAGGAAACACATTTCGCTACAAAACACAACCTTAAGTAGGCACCGGCAGAAATTTAGGGAAACAAAACTGGAATATCTGATTGTCATATTGTAATTTGGATTGTTATAGTATAAAATAAAATTACTTTTACTACAATTTGTCTTGCTTTTGTGGTTGTAGTCAGTGGCTTGTAGTCTCTCCCCTTTAGGAATAGGTTTGTCAGCCCGTTCATTCCACTTAGGGATACATCTATGCTTTTAAATATATTCATTAATATTTGCACACATATGCACTTTTCATTCACTTTTCATGAAATAAAAATGAGTAATACCATAAGAGTAGTTGCTCTTCCATTCTCAAACTAAGAAAGGGAGGTTTAAATACTCAAAAACAGACAACTAACTATATGTGGTAATGCCTACGGATTAGAAATTTTCTTAATATGAGAACATATATACAAAGGTGTTATTCACAAGTAGGCCAGTCAATGGGTCGGGTCTAGACCCGGACCCGACCCGGACCCGGTTGTTTTTAACGGGTACGGGTCTATATTTTATTCCGTTTACCCGGACCCGGATCCGGACCCGTTAGTACTTTTAATAAACGGGTCGGGTATGGTACATATGATTCCGACCCGTTAAAGACCCGAACCCGTTTAAAATTTCTTATATGTATACCCACATACTAATACATAAAGTAATTAGTTATAACACTTGAAATAAAATAAAATAAAAAACTAATACACACACATGTATACATAATAATACATAGAGTTATTAATTGTATTTTTTCAATTAAAAATACACACACTAATACATACCTACTATATAAGCGATATTGATAGGGGTAGTGAGATAACCTAAAACTAATATCCATTTTGGTCGTTTATACATACTAATAAAGTGTGTATTAGGCTTGGTACGCAAAGCATAATATTTATTAGTATTATTGACAATATTATTATATCATTATCGTATATATAATACTCCGTATGTCATTATACTCTCAGTAGTCCAAGATACATTTTTGTGACTTAATTTCTAGTTTATTTTACTAGCTTTTTGTGCGAGAAAAAGCGACACAGAGTGTGTAGTTATACGTCTCTACAAGAACCGATACTTTACTGGATAAAAGTATTAATTTTCTATGAGAAATCTTGTTTTTTTGTATAATTAAGATATATTTTGCTTTTAAATTTGCACACTTTGTTTTACATTTTATTTACAGGCCTTGTTATTTTGACAAAGTCTAGAATGGGTCCGGGTCTACCCGACCCGGTTCCGAGACCCGTTGGGTATGGGTATGGGTCCAAATTTCCAGACCCGTTGGGTAAACGGGTCGGGTCCGGATCCATTTTTAACTTAGCGGGTCCGGGTCTGGAACACTATGTTCCGGCCCGGACCCGACCCATTGACAGGCCTATTCACAAGCGAGAATGTCTACGTCGTCGAAGAGAATCCCAGCCAAAGTTCATCGGCGGACGTTGATCTTCTCCGTGCCACTCCCCATGCCGGTCGATCCAGATCCCACCGGTCCTCGGGTCTGGATTTCTTCGGCCTCCTAAAAAGCGAGCGATGCGTCCGTCTCCCGTGTCTGGGTGATGACTCAAGGACAAAACCAGAACGCGGATCCTCTAGTCGGTGATTCCTAATATTCTGACCATGTTGTCGAAAAGAAGCCCCATCTCTATTTGAATAATGGATATCCCATCGCTGAACACCCTCACGAAAATTCCTCAACCTCCGCGGCCGGTTGGCAGCCAAATCACTCATCCCAAAACCCTCATCTCTCATTCGAGCTTGAGTCTTAGTCTTTCGAATTCAATTTAATACTCCCTCCGGTTCTAAATAAACTTCACACTTTCCTTTTTGGGACGGTCCAAAATAAACTTCATACTTCCTTATTTCCTTATTTGGCAAAGAAATATACATCAAAACAGTGTTAAACAGTGCCAAACAGTGTCTCAACAGTGCCAAACAGTGTCTCAACAGTGTCAAACAGTGTCTCAACAGTGTACTCTACAGTAAAGTCAACTTTATTTCCTTAATAACTGTGAAGTCAAACACTGAAGTTTAAAAAGAACCGGAGGGAGTAATATTCTTGGAAAAGGTCGTACATACTTCATTTCTAAACAAAGTAAACAGGTAAAGAGGAAGAGTGTATTTAAATGCAAAAAGCATAAAGCAACAATATAAAAAGATTTATACTTTACTTCAAATCATAAGTTATACCGTGATTAAAATCCAATGTTGACTATTAATTACGAAGTATATACGTAGTTACTATATGTATCATGAATCACGTATATGCTCTGGTCTATTTAAGTTGTTATTTTGTCTTGATCGATATGACGCTTCTTTAATCAACTTATTACGGAGTACTTCGTATATCATTAGCTTGTATACAAAAATATAAATACACACTTGTTGTTGTTGTAATCAAACTACAAAACAATGGACCGAACAAGAGATTATCAATATTTATGCCACGAGTGTCCCGCACGGGCAGTTCCGTTTTGCTCAGGAAGCCACCTCATGTCGTCTATGTTCTTCTTGATTTATGTACGAGATCGAAAGCATTACATTTTACTTGAGGGATGTTGGCAACCATGGAGAAGCGGGACTCGAAGCTTGGCGATGGCGATCGAGGAATCGTGATCTAGAAAAAGAATCGTCTTTTATGCCTCGGCATCCGGTAGTACGTTGTGATTCATTTAAGGCGGGACAGTAAATGTGGGGTTCCATCCCTAATTGTTTGGCTAGGGGGTGAACGAACACAGCTTCAATCCACGGTTGAAAACATTACGCATTGCAATGAATGGTATTGGTGCTACCAATGTCACACACCGCACACATTAGACTCAAACGTCTTCATTTCCACCTACTATGTTGCACGGAAACGTGAAAATCTACCTCTATATAAAAAGAGGTGGAAAGACAAGTGGGTTTCCCGCCCAAACATCCAGGTCAACTAATGGGTGGGCACTTAGAAACGGGTTTTGTTTTGTTGTTGAGTAAACAATACAATCCATTTAATGCTCAACTAACGTGGAAGACACGCTGGTCAAGAAGAGACTAACATCCCATTGGCTGATTTTTTTAAGCACCAAAAATAAGTTGAAAGTTCAGTCTAACATTAAATGCAATGGTGCGAATCATCCGATATATATGGGTTGTTGAGCTTTGCATTTAATGAAAGAAAATTCCACCACAAATTTCAAAGTGTTTCTTTTGTAATAACCAATGCAAGAAGTGAATTGTCAAATCCCACATTTAATGCTCTGAAATTCTGAATGATGGACATGATACGAGATTTAGATTCTCATGACATATACGTAGTACATTTAAAAAAAATACAGTAGCAGTCCACTATAAATCTGAAATCTTTACAACGGAAACACCACATTACAAAATATACAAAAACGCCCTCAATGGCAAATAGGATTGGTATGGGTAGTGAGAACATAAGACATGCCAGCTCTACGGGAAGACATAGACACGAAGAGCTGAGGTGCAAATCTGCTACATGTAGAGTAACACTTCCTGACGGGATGATGAGGTACTTGCAGTTAATTCATATGCTTTTCACAATAAAACAAAAAGTTTAATTTATACTCCGTATTTGAGATAGCACTGAACGGATAAAACAGTATGGGATTTAAAAAATGGGCATAACAATTGGGGCTTGAGGAATTAGGTAAAAAAGGTATTTATCATACACTACAATAAGCTTAATATTTATCATATTTAAGGTCTTCTACAAACTGTAATCCAATTTTTCTGTCTCAAGGCACTAACTTATTAAGTTGCCTATTTTCAGAGTATTTGTACTGCGAAAAGAGAAATTGGAGCTACAAAAAAGATGGGTGAGATACTCCTGGGAAGGACAAGGTACTACTAGACTCAGTCCACTCTATTGTACAACTTGGTCATTATTTCACCTAAGTAAATTACTTAACTAAGCTTTGTACCTAATTATGCAGGTTGATGCAGATGGAGATGAAAACCCAACTTTTCATGAAGTGGTTAGGATTGAAATGAATAGATCATACCTGAGCATTTGGCTGTGGGTAAGGACCCAACATTCCATATTTTAAATTAATTAATAATTACACTCACTTATGAATATTATATTAATGGGCCCATATTGAATGACATAGAAAATTTGAAAATATAGTAGAAAAACATATGTAGTATATTTATATGATAAAAAGCTTATGTTATAACGGAAACTGATTTCACACAAACTGAATTTGTATTCAGTGAACAAAATACTACCTCCAAACCCAAAAATTTGTATAATTCTAATGTCCATATCTTGCTACGTTATAAAATAATGAAGTGCTATTGATATGCAATGTGTACTATCCTTAGTACATTTACCTACACACAAATAATTGTAAAACAGTTTATAAATATTATTGCAAAAATGTCGATTGTATAATTATTAAAACTATTTTCCGGTTTGATATAATTCAGTATTTAATAGAATGTGTACACAGGAAAATAACCTAATTGAGTAGATTTACAAAACGGTGTAAGCCCTTTTAACTAAGCTTAAGAAGTGAAAACATATTAGACATCAAAGAAAAAAACCGACCGCCACTTTTTAACACAAGAAAAAACAAGATCAGTAAGTCAATGCAAAAAGTGATAGCAATCGATGATATACACAAAGTCAAAAGCAAGAGAAAATAGTATGTAGTAATTTGTAAGCATTTAGTAATATTAAATGTGTAGGTCGGAGAGGTAAGCCATATACCCGAATCGGGATAGGAGTGAAGACATGGTCTGAGGAATTCCAATGATCGAAAAAAGAATTACTTAAGCCACCATCTTCCAGCGATCGGATAATGAAGTGCTAGATTGGGGGCTAATAATCAATGAGAAGGATAGTAAAGGAGGTTCAAGTGTTCAACTCAGCTACGGTATGAGAGGCCGTCGGATCAACCGATGGTCCTCTACATGATGTGTACGTAGAATGGTTAGCAGCGGCGCAGGGGATATGAACGGTTTATATATGTCATGTGTAGGGTTGTATTGGTTGGGCATTTAATATGTACTCCGTAGTATTAATGGGGTAGCCAGATTGGGCTGGATTTGGACTGCATAATTGGGCTTCTTTAATTTTTAAAGGGCTGATATATGAAATTATATTGTAGAAGTGGTCTTGAATGTATGGGAAAATTTATCTTTGTCATAGTTTATACGGAGTATCTTAAAGTGCAAGTGTTTTTATATTTTATGCTACATTTATATTGTACTCCCTTCATTCCGTAATTGTTCGTTAAATTGACTTTTCTTGGTCAACGACAATCACTTTTAATACGGATTTATTTTGAATATGAAAATAATATCAAAATGTTCTTTGTTTAAAGTATTTATGTAAGAGTATAAAATTTATAAATTATATACAAATATAATAATTAAAATCAGTGTCCAAAGTTTGTCATTGTTGATTAAGAAAAATCAATATGACTAACATCTTAGGGGCATAGGTAGTACAGAGTATATTTCGGTATTTTAAGTTTTCTTTTTCGAACCTGTGTTTTATTTTATACTACGTACTCAATATTTATAATATTCTATACATTATCCGTCTCATTATACATGTCTTATTTTATTTTCCTTTTTGAGTTGTAATAAAATAAATGTTTTTTGTGAAAATAAATATGAAGGCTACAACATGTCACTGTATTGTATTCAAATCTCAATCACACATTTTACATTTTTAACCACTATATTAATAATCATGTCAAATCGAAACAAACACATAAAATAAGACGGAGGTAGTAGTTTATAGTTTTTACGTAGTAATGGTTAGGGGTGGGACTTGGAACCGTAAAACCGGAAAACCGAACCGAACCGAACCGAAATTTCCGGTTCGGTTCGGTTCCTATAGTTTTGGACTTGAGCTTTTTTCGGTTCGGTTCCTATAGTATTTCATCGGTTCGGTTCCGGTTCGGTTCCAGTTCGGTTCCGGTTCCTAGCCAGGAACCGAACTTCTTATACATTGTATGAGTAATCTTCATTTGAGGTGCTTCTGAGTGGAATTTTTTGATGAAATTTGGTGAGCATGTTTCTCATGAAATAAAGATTATGTCCACCAAATTTGAGCTTAAAATGTAATCGGGAAGTCAGTTAAATAAATTATTGAAAAACAGTACGCCAACATATATAAAAACGCAATGTTTTTCAATATTTTATTTAATTCACTTCCCGATTGAATGTTAAGCTGAAATTTGGTATATATCATCTATATTTCATGTAGAACATACTCACAAAATTTTATCAAAAAATTCTACACGGAAGAACCTCAAATGGAGATGGCCAGACGGCGTTCCGGGCCAATCCGAGTAATTATTTGTCAAGAATATTTTCTTGCATAATATACCTTATATATTGTGGACCAGACCAATCCAAGTAATTATTTGAATACTTTAGTCCACTTTTCATATTTATTTTTTGTTTGTAAATGTAAATGTATTGGAGTTCATCTAAAAAGGAATTAATATTCTATTGATTACGTTGTTTATTACTACGTACATTTTACCTATTGTGCATTACTAGTAGAAGAATATTATTTTGAGGTTGAACTACCAGCTATTAAATGTGTACTTTGGAGATATCAAACCTTTTTGCTCGACTGTTGATGCATATTTTAAACCGAGATTTTTGTTATGTTGAAATTTAATGTTGCACTTGGATATATATATATATATATATATATATATATATATATATATATATATATTTATTTGAACATTGAGATATCATGCACGTATAATATAATGGTCATAATTTAATGATTTAAAGTTTGAATTTTTTATTTAACTGAAGGTAAAATGTGTTCATTTCAGGAGGATAGTAAAATTTTATAAGGAACCGAAAAAAGGTAAGAACCGAACCGAATTTAAGTAGAACCGAACCGAATTTAACAACCATTTTTTTAACTAGAACCGAACCGAATTTAAATCCTACAATTTTTATACGGTTCCATCGAATTTTAACAAGAACCGAACCGATCCCAGGCCTAGTAATGGTAGTATACTTTACATGTTGTATGTATTTAATTATTTGTAGTATTGAATCCCAAATGTGTGACCCACCCATGCTCATATTGTTATACTTCCTCCATCCCACTAAAAATAAGACAATAGGAAGTGACATGCAAATCAATAAAAAATGGTTTATGTTGTTAATATTGAATTATAAAAGTAAAAATAAAGTAAGAATGATTTAGAGCTGCACAAACTTTATCAAATTTGGTATGAAACAATCTAAGTGGGACGGATCAAAAAGGTAAAATAAGACAATCTTAACGGGACGGATGAAGTATATGGAAAATGGAGACAAATTTCTTATTCCAATGTATAGTGATTGAATTATACTTGCACTTTTTAATTGTAGAGTTTTTATTATAGAACGGTTTATAATATACCCCTGTTTCCTTCTCATTTAAGAATTATAAATTTATGATCCTTCCGTGTTATTGTTAGTGTATAAATTGTAGAGTGTATAAATTTATCTCTCTATTTAATTTTGTTCCGTGCATCGCACGAGTGGGAATCTAGTAATGAGAAAACAAGAAAACGAGAAACAAGAAACGTCAACTTTTGCTCAAAAAACGCTTATTTAAGAGTTTCCAAAGAGTTTCCGAAACGGGAAACTTACTCTTTCCCGAGAGTTTTCGTGCTACATAGTCCAGCGATAAAATCAGGGCAGTCCATATCTGAGCGATTCAATTGAAGAGGCAACCGTATACACTCCAAAAAGAAGCCCAGTGTTTAGGAAATAAGGATCAAGACAAACATCCTCTGTGGCGTAGAGCCTTTCATTTTTCAACACGGAATATAATTCTGCACCTCGGTCCTCCCATGAGCTGTTGGCCTCATACTTCAACAAAAAATTTCCTCCGTCTTTCAAGTAGAACTTGACATTCTCTAATAGAATGGTAACCTGGTCATCCTCAGCAATGTCACAATACACGACATCCACCTTTTCGTCAATGGCGGTTCGGTATTTCTCAGGATCCCTTGCATCTTCAAGGATAGGAGTAACATTCGCCCTCCTCGCCGCCATGTTCACCATCTCCACAACATTTTTCGGACCGGATTCGACTTCATACACCGCTCCGCTTGTTCCAACAATATCAGATATATGAGAAACAGTTGCCAAAGCTCCTTTGCCATCTCCGAGATAGAGGACTCTACAACCAGGCCTGATAAAAATATCATCAGGTTTATTGTCCGCAATTGCAGCTGCCAGGGGGGAACGGAAAGCATCCCATGGTCTGTACTCGATGATTATTTCATCTGCATCCCGAACATACACTATGTACCCATTGTACCTCCCTTTCAAAGCAGCTTTACCAGGAATCAGATTCCGGGTGCACAGACCACCCTCTTCACATCTAAGAACGAAAACGCCCTGGTATAGAGGGGGGTAATCCACTATTTTTGGACTCCAGACTGTACGCTTCCTCGTAATTGTGGCCTCCATAGGTCCTGCTAGGTTAGTTACTGTTCCTGATAAGTGATGGCCAGATCTCGCCATTTTCGAGTCAGCTGAGGGGTTTTCCCTCTCTTTCCATTACGGCGGATTGCTATTCGTAGCCTGATCGGAGGTCAGATCGTTCCGTAGTATCCTCGAAATTTAACGGCGAGCCGCTTCCATTGAAGATGAATGAATTATAGACGGGGAGCAACAGGGTCCACATCAAGAGTTCTTTGATTAGACTAGTTTCCCGTCCCAATATCCTACACCCGGACATAAGTACACCCGGCCCAATTAAAAAAGATAGCTCATTAAGGAGGTAAAGGTCATATTGGTACTCGAAATTGCATAAAAAGGGTCAAATAAGTCCTTATATAGAAGGCTCTGTCTGGCCGTCGTCATTTGGGATGGTTCCCAGTGAAATTTTTCGACGAAATTTTTTGAGCATCTTATTCATAAATTCTAGTTTGCTCATACCATATTTCAGCTACAAATTCAACCGAGAAGGCATTCAAATGAATTCTTGAAGATATCTGCGCAGTTAAAAGCACAATTATCTTCAATAATTCATTTGAATGCCTTCCAGATTAAAGTAGATGCTTAAAAAATTATCAAAAAATTCCATCGGGAACCGCCTCAAATGGCGACGGCCGGACAGTAAGGACTTATTTGACCTTTTTTATGCAACTTCAAATATCAATCTGACCTTTACCTCGCTCATTAACTAATACTCCCTCCGTCCCAATATAAAATGCACACTTTCCTTTTCAGTCCGTTCCAATATAAAAGGCACATTTCCCTTTTTGGCAAACAAAACAGTGCAAAACAGTGCCAAACAGTGCCAAACAGTGCCAAACAGTGTCAAACAGTGTTCAAACAGTGTTCACCCTTAAAAACTCCCAAAACGCAAATGTGCCTTTTATATTGGGACGGAGGGAGTATATCATTGCGTAAAAAAAACTAATACTCCCTCCGTCATATTGGACTTTTGACACTACATGTATACTCAACTTTGGAATTTTTTAAATTCTATACTATTTAGCTAAATTTCTACAAATACATGTATACGATTTAGAAATCAAACATTGTGATTGTATCAAAGTTTGTGACAAACTTTGAAGTTCATATTATCTGGTCTTAGAAAAAAAGAACTTTCAAAGCCTGTTGGATGAAAATTATTTTGTGATATACGAAATCTGCAATTTCGTTTTTGCAATAATTGATAATATAACCCAGTTCCTTCAGTATAATTTTGAGAAGTGTAGCATTGTATAAATGCTCAGGCTGTCTCACCAAAATCATAACTACATGGTTATTTATTTTCCATCAAAATAAGCAACACTTTTTTTAAAAACATGCAGAACATAACACATAAAGCTAAGCATTATGTAATATTGACCAAGCTAGATGTCTTTCTCTCGTTTTTAGTTATTAGGTTATGATATAAAATGTATTGTTAATAGGTTTTGGGACCTTAATAAGGTTGCCATTTATGTAATATTAAAAAAAAAATGTAATTATTAGTTAGTTTAAAAGATATAGGATATGGAGGTTGGAAGAATTTATGGTTTCGCAGGTATGAATCTACTGATTCTCATTACTGATAACATTATGCTATTCCCTTCAACTGTTGTTTGCTACAAAACATGTACATTTTGGGATAATCATTGAACACCAAGAGCCCACTCAAATTTAATAAAACATGTGCTAACAGAATATTTTGGAATAAACATTGATTTCATTCCTCAAATAAAAGCATTTGTTTTAAACAGTCAGTCTCTTTTGGATTCTTTATGTGACACTAAGTTTCCCAGTTTTATATTATATACGTATCCTGAGAAAAATGTCAATCACGAATTAACCCATCTGGCTATTTTTTAGCAAAAGATAAATCATTGTGCTTACACGTGCATCCCTTTTTCATCCCCTACGGTTCACATAAGTTAATACTGCATTAATAAAATGTCATTGCATTTGATACGTAACAATACAAAATAGTGTATCATTTTTTATTGAATTGATGATGAGTTTTCACAAAATTGATAAATATTCAATAACAGTGAGTACTCTTTCTTTGTGGTGTTTTTGATAAGTATTCCATATTTTTAGTTATTTTTCCTTTCGGATTTATAGGTATATCATATTTGATCTTCTAAATGTTATTTTACATCAGGAATAGGTAGGTATATTGTATCGATTTACCTTTTGTTCCCAATTTTGTGTTTGTGAAACACACTTTTCCAGAATCTTACACCGAGGATACCTGTGTTTTCTCATTATGCCAAAAAGAAAATCAAACTTTAGATTAACACATATATTCTATTTGCATGATTTTCATAAACAGGTTTAATCACATGATATACCTATTAGCTTGTCTTGTACCCCGAAATGCTTAAACTGTATTTTGTGTGATCAATGTCTTGGATTAAAACCCACATCCATGCTTGGGTAGATGATGGACTGGGACAAAGTTTAGGACTGGGACTTTGGAACCAAGAACCAGAGAACCGAACCGGATCGAACCGTTATGACCCAGTTCGGTTCGGTTCCAAAATTTATTAGTTATTTGTTAATGGTTCGGTTCCTATTTTTTTATTAAGGGTTTGGTTCTCGGTTCCTAAAAAAATATGTACATGGAACAGTTAAGGAACCGTTATATATAATAATTAAAATTATACTTCTTGTTAGTATATATGTAGTACATTTTAATTTGAAATAATTACCCTAGGTATGACTAAAACTCCATCATTTTCTTAATATATGACCTAATCAGTTTTTTTTACCAAAATAATACTAAAATTCATCATATTTAATTAATATATTAATAAATAATTAAATAAATATTTTATATGGACTAATATACCCTTTTGTTTATATTATTATAAAACCCAATCATCCTACCAACCCTAATGGTAACCTATCCATCGCCCATCTCTGTACCAATGTTCAGCCGCCGCTGCCGCCTGTTGTCCAGCCGTCTTACATCGCCGCCAACCACCGCCTGTCACCCATTCTTAGGACAACACCTTTCATGTCGGAGATCCAGAGTTGTCCGACTAGCAACTTATGACGGGATATGGAGCTCCAGTCCGGCAGTCCATGTATTACGCAACAACTTCGACCCTCGCAGCAAAGGAGTGGCATCCATGGTCCGGCGACTACTCTTAGAGGACTTCGCTTGGAGCTTGTGAGCATATTCAAAATTCACGACTAATTTTAGACCAGAGCCTTGGAGCTTGCGACTGCAAGTATGGAACAACAAGATGGGAGAGAATTTGAATTTGATTTTTGTATTGAGAGTAACTTTTTCCAATTTAAAATTATTAATTGGTCTGATTTTCGCAGAGTATATATGTTGAAAACTTGAAACACACACTATGTCACGCCCCGGACCTATCCGGACACGTCAACAATCCGCCGTACAGTACGAATAGTCAACCGCAGTCCAACACATTCATACTATACAAGGCGTCTGGGATATCATTCACACATAGTACATCCATAAACAAACATAATGTAAAATATTCATTCAAAGCAGCGGAAACGTTTAATACAAGTGTTCGCGCCACACTTTGGCAAACATGGGCATACAAGCCCCCAAATGATTATTCAAAATATAATATCCATGAGCATTAATTTAAATGTTTTCAAAACAGGAACGGAGGAAGCACGAACCACGTCTTCCTTCCTTGAATTCTCCCAGAGCAACGGGCACTCGTAGCAAGCTCAGCTCCTACCTGAAACTGTGAGGTGGCCTCCCCCATGAAGGGGAGGTCAGTACTTGGAAGCATTTGACAAGTACAATGACAACTATACTAAGTATAATCAATGTTTCAATTTCCAAGACCCTCAACCAGGGTATTATCATATCATAGTTAACTTTGTTCGTTTAGTGTCAATTCATCGTTATTTACCACGGTCTAGAGCCCAGCTCAATAATCACCGTTATCTACTACGGTCTAGAGCCCAACTCAAAAATCACCGTCATCTACATCGGTCTAGAGCTCAGCTCAATAATCACCGATAACTACTACGGTCTAGAGCCCAGCTCAATAATCACCGTTATCTACGTCGGTCTAGAGCCCAGCTCAATAATCACCGATAACTACTACGGTCTAGAGCCCAACTCAATAATCACCGTTATCTACATCGGTCTAGAGCCCAGCTCAATAATCACCGATTCTTTACAATTCAATTTCTTAGGATCCATTCATCCATTATTCAACTACAAATCCAACTAATATTTCAATACTAGTTATCTGCTCATTTCAATGTAATTTTTCATTCAATATGTAATTTGGCCTTAATATCAAAATATCACTTTTATTCTTTCATGGCTTCTTCTCATGAAATAAAAGCATACTTATCACAAATGGGATTTATGGTTGATACTACTATCATGCCATCATATTCATAACATATAAACATACACAATTTACTCAATAAATTTGTATATTATGCAAACTATACTTATATTCAATAGTATTTCATTTAGGCATTATTAACCATTAATAATCCATGCAAATCACATTGTGTATTCATTTAGGAAATCTCATGAAATTAACCCAAAGATTATAAGCAATATAGTCGGTCATCCTCACCTTAAGTGAGCTTAAGCGCGTTCTACGCTTCCCGGTTGAACTTTGACTAACTTTGACCAACTCCGGCGAAACTCCGGCGAAAGTCCGGCGAAACTCAAAGATACTCTAAATCAAGTTCCTAACAAGGTTTTAACATCATAAAACCTTAATCAATACACATAACCTCTAAAAGGTTATTTTCCGGTGAACTTGTCGGTTTGGCTTCTAAATCCATTTTTTTTGACATAGAACCACCTTCCAACCCCTTGTTCCACATTTATCAACATGTAGAACAATCCTAGGGTTCTTCATAGTTTCTCAAATAATAATATATTCAAGAAAAAGAGAGGAGAAAGGTAAAAGGAGTCATTACCTAGTTTTTTTCCCCGAGTTTCGTACACTTTTAGAACTTAAACTCTTCCCTGGAGCTTCCTTCTTGTTGGAGCTTCCTTCAACAATGGTGAGAGGTGGCTGGAGTTCTTGTTGCTCTTGGTTGGGGTGGTGTGGTCGAAAATAATGGAGAGAGGGGGTTGGGGTTTGCTTTTTGTCTCAAAAGGCAATTATGTGTGGAGAGACCCACCTTTGTCCTTTAGATGCCTCTCAAGTCAACCCAACATCTACCCATCTTCCTCCTCTTACTCAGCCGCCCCAC